AGTATTGATTTAATAAAAGATGAAGGTTTAGAATATTATTGCTGCATAAATTGAGGAATTGGAAGGTATGAGGAGTTTAGCATTATTTTATTGAGAATGACACATTGTAAGTTGATCTGAATCTCTTTGGTTTCCCAGAATTTTTACTGGCTGAGTTTATTCTATAACCTCTCCTCCCCACCTTGGCAATGTCTCATGAGCTATTGATAAATTATTAAGCTCTGTTGCAAACACAGTGCCAGAATTAACCCTAAAATGGTATATTCATCAAGGCCTAGTCAAGAGGCAGAAAACACAATAGTGATTGTGACAGAGAAAATTGAATATGAAGAATTGCTGACTAGGTATAAAGAATCTTTATCTGAAAAGCAAAAGAAGAACTCAATGTCATGGATGTAGCAACTCCCACTCCCCAGGACTGAAAAAACAAAAGAAGAAGTCAAAATAATTAAAACATAGAGACCGAGAGGAGGGACCCTGTGGAGCTGACATTCAGGTCTCTGAGGAAGGTTGCTGTTCAGCTCGTGTCTTGAAAATGTACCTGGGATTGTTTATAATCAGGCATGGTAAACATGCAGACACAGAAATTATTTTCACAAAGGAAGAAGTTTATACTCACAGCTCTCTAGAAACAAGAGGCACAGCATTTCATGCAGGACTACATAGGGAAGTACCAGTGTGGGTCAGGAAACAGGAGGAGGAGGAGGAGAAAGCATTGGCAGAAGCCTTTATTGTGGCTTTTTGGGGAAAGGCAAGGTAGCGCATGTTAAATGGTTTAGAATTGGTTAGTTTGAATGATTTCTGCAGACTCTGGACTGTAGTGATGGTCCCCAGTTACTTGACCCTGGAGTGACTGAGAGCAGGGGGAATATTGGCTTGGTGTGTGAAAATTGATAACAGAGGTAGAAGCGGGTATAGGCTCTGGACTACTTGGTTTGCACAGAAAGACATGCTCACTGGCAAGTTGTTTGCCATCTCCAGGAATTTGCTAACCTTGGGAGTGGCCATTTGTACTGAGTCTGCAAGGCCTCCAAGACGTCACATCATAACGTATAGAAAATAAAAACCATGACATCTACAATTGGGTTGGTGTTTCTGAGTTCTGGGGGCTGCCAGTTGCTTTTTGTGGGCTGCTAGCTGCTTTTTTGAGGTTTTCTTCCCATAAGTTAAACCTCTTCTCTCCTCCAGGATCAGAGAGGGTAGCTACCATCTATCTTTCAAAGGGGAGGGAGCTTCTGGCACTAATCATTGAATTTACAGCAATCCAAAGATTCCACACTATAAGCGATTGCCTAGATATTCCAGATATCCTAGAAAAATATACACATTCATCTCCGCATCTCACTTGAAGACCTTCTCTTCTGCTTCTATAGTCATTAATAAACATCAAATATCTGCTGATAGGGAAGATGTTAAACTGATTTTTAAACTGAAGAGAAAAATGGGTCTGTGATGAACATTATAGTTACATTTTACCTCTTCTGTCCCCTTTCCTGTATGTCACCCTCTTTCCATTACCAGGACTCAGAGGATCTCAGAAAAGAAGGTCTATGCACAACAATTGCTAGCTGAGTTGTGAAAGGATGGTTTTAATTTTTTAAGAGATTTATTTCTCCAAAATTTAATCTTTTATAAAATGATTTGGGTAGAAAACAGAGCCAAAGACGAAGCTTTCATGTGAATGTTTTATTGGGGACTGCGATCCCAGGACAGCAAGAGTGACAGGACAGGATCGTAAGGCAGAGGGGGGTGGACCATTACCACACTGGCCATGGCTTCAAAAGAAAACACAATTGGTACCTTGGTCACAAGGATGCCTCCAGGTAGGCTGTGTGGAACCACTATGTGTTGAAGCAGTTCATTGTGGGAAAGAAATGAAATGAAATGAATTTATCTGTTGGTTTCTTCCTGCATTATGACTCTCATTGGTCAAAGTTTGCCCCATTTTTGTTGTTACTTGACCCCTTTGGATAGCGGATGGAAAATCCACATCTCATGCTATGTAGCACAGAGCCTCTGTGGGCTCGTAAGATTTGATTTGGGGTTGGAGCTGCCATGCTAGGCCTGCTGGAGGCCATGCCGGCCTCTAGCCTTCCCTCTTGAAAGAAGAGAGGCAATGGTGGCAGTGGCCAGTTTCCCACTGAATAAGTTGCAATTGACAAAGGGCTAATGTGAAGATGTACATAAATTTGATCTGATATGGATAGTAATGGGTAATCAGTAAGTCAGAGACTGGAAATATTTGTAAATACGAATGAAAGTAATTGGAGAAATGGAAAGTTCCATAAGGATATGTCTGAAATATGGGTTTATAGAGCATGGGATATAGAGGGCTCGGTCAACACATGGAACCAGAATGTTAGTAGGCGACAGCCCTGCCCCAGGAGGCAGGAGACCTGGTCCCAGTTCCCAAGCTTCCCTTAGCTGTGGCATGGTCTCGGATTAGTCTCTTCATCAATCTGAGCCTCTGTTGTCTTATTTTAAAAAGGAGGAGAGAATCAAAGCTGACTTTTTTAGTTCTCAGATATGTTTCAGACAGACAATTTTGCAGGAGTAATTTGCATGTACGATCTTTTCAAATTTCCCTATATAAAAATGAAGAATTATTGTCAGGAGCATCATCAGACAGAAACTCATTTTGTAACTTAAAATCTGCACTGGTTGGTCTGACAAAAAACTACCACACTGGGAAGTCAGCCAATCTGAATTCTAGACCTGACTCTTTCAGCAGACAGCCGAATGTAAATCAGTGAACATCTGTCTCTGGGCTTCGTCAAAGTACAAGCTGTGGTCTCCAATCACCTTGGCTGGAGCCCTGGTGTTAGCACTGACCAGCTCTGTGACCTTGAGCACGTTACTTAACCTCCCTAATTCTTTTTCCTTATCTGACTAGTGGGGCTGCCAAGAGCAAATGCATATGGAATATCTGATATAATTGTATACTCGAATGTTAATTAGTATTTTCTTAATTGTAAAAAGAGGTAGAGCCATTGATCCCTAGGACCCATTTTAGCTTTAACATTCCATGATTCCATACTCCGATTCATTACTTAATTATTACAGATGCTTAGTTAGCATTTAATACATGTGTAGTCCTGTGCTACTTTGCTCTCAGGAAGCACACAAACTGGCTGAGACAGTCACATAAGATTAGAAACCATATACAGTAATCTACACTGTTGTGATAAGGGATGGTGCCCTAAAAGTATAATAAATCTTATTTAGAGTTCTAAGATTGATGACTTATCAAGCACATTATTTTGGGAAAAGACACTTTGTCAGTGTTGGGGGAGATATTTATGGTGGGTCCTTACAAATCTTTAAAAAATTATTTTATAGATGCCCATTAGTATATCTTCAACTAATAACTAATGGAGTATTGTTGGAAGCAGTGTCCACCTAGGGTTTTAATCTAAAGTCTGAAGCATGGTAAATTATATATCATTGCTTAGTGTAGCTGCTGTTTATAATGATGTCATATTTCTAATGGAAAAAATTAACATTAAAATTAATATTAAACTGGTAACTTGAGTTGAATTGAAATGGAAATGCTTAAATGGAAATGCTTTCTGTTGCCATGAAGGTTACCGTGGTTAAGTTTTTAGACTCAATACAAAATACTCTGCACAAGAAATAAAGGACAGTGTCTTATTCATCAGTAGCAAAGACTCTCCAATTGTTTAGCGAGCAATGAATGCAGTACTCAAAAATCCTGTTCAGTTTGAATTTTGAGGATAGAGAAGAAAAATTAGGAAAAACATATTACTTCAAAAGTGTGTTTGGATTAGAAAAAAGTTCATTTTTAACAAATAATGCTAGGCAACATGGAAAGATCTATCATATTAATAAGCGTTTAATAATAAAACATGAAGAAAAGTAAAAAGGCTTAAGGCACAACTCTCAGAACTTTATTTTAGGATATTCAGGAAGATGCTACTGTAGCATACCATGTGTTATGGTGATAAGGTGCTAAACTTTGATTTAGAATATGTTGGTTCACCTCAATCTGCCACTTACTGTTTTGGGTTACCTTGGCCAAGGGTCCTACCCACTTCATGATTTGGTTATTTATAAAATTGAGGGATTTAAAATTATGTCAAATTTATTATGATTATTCGTTTATAGTATTATCAAAATTGTACATCCATATAACCTAGTGATAAAGTTTTATAAAGCTTGTTTGAAAACAGCATCCCCCCCACCACGATTTTCCCATCTTCAGAGGAAAACACTTCCAAATCTTAGAGCTTTTTTTTAGTATATACCTCTGTATCTCTAAGTTATACTCTAAATTGCTAGTTTTAAAATATACATAAGATTTACCATTTAAACCATTTTAAGTGTACAGTTAAGTGGAATTAAGTACATTCACATTGTTATGCAATCATCACTGTTTATCATCTCCATAATTTTTCATCATCTGAAACAGAAACCCTGTACCTATTCAATAATAACTCCCCTATTACTCCAGGCCTTGGTAACCCCTATTCTGCTTTCTGTCTTTAAAAGTTTGACTACTCTAGGTACTTCATATAAATGGAATCATTCAATATTTGTCCTTTTGTGTCTGGCATCTTTCACTTAGCATCATGTCCTCAAGTTTCATCCATGTTGTAGTATGTGTCAGAATTTCTTTCCCTTTTAAGGCTGAATGTATATACAACTGTATGTATATACAACTTTTGTTTGTCCATTCACCCATTGTATATACAACTTTTGTTTGTCCATTCATCCATTGATAGTCATTTGGGTTGCTTCTACCATTTCACTATTGTGAATAAAGCTGCAATGAATGTGGGTGTAAAAATATCTGTTTGAGTTCGTGCTTTCAATTCTTTTGTATATAAACCCAGAGATGGAGTTGTTGAATCATATTTTTAATTTTTTGCAGAACTGCCACATTGTTTTTCAGAGTGGCTACACCATTTTACATTCCTACCAGCAGTGCACAAGGGTCTCAATTTCTCCACATCCTCACCAGCACTTGTTATTCCTCCTTTTTTAATATGGAAGCTTTCATGAATTTGTGTCTTCCTCGTGAGGGGCTATGTCGATCTTCTCTGTATCATTATACTTTAATATATGTATTGCTGAAGTGAGCACTCTATGTGTTTTTGCTTTCTACTTTCTGGATGATTTTTTAAATTTTATCTTCCAATCCACCTATTGAATTTTTTTTGTATATTGAAATATAATAGACAATCAGTTGTTTGTACTTACATTGTATAATTCAATGAGTTTTTTTTTTTTTCATTTATAGTTGGGATACAATAATATACCAGTTTCAGTTGTAAAGCATAGTGACCAGAGATCACATAACTTGCAAAGTGATCACTCCACTAAATCTAGTATCCCTTTTCCCCTTACATATTTATTACATTATTAACCATCTTCCCCATGCTACACTCTACATCTCCATGTCTATTCTGCAACTATCCGTTTCTACCTTTTAATTCCTTTGCCTTTTTTTGTCCCCCCAGCACCCCTCTCATCTAGTATCTCTCTAAATATTCTCTGTATCTATGAGTTTATTTCTGCTTTTGTTGTCATTGTTGATTTTGTTCTTTAGATTTCACATGTATGTGAAATCATGTGATATTTGTCTTTCTCTATCCGAACCATTTCATTCAGTGCAATACCTTCTAGGTCAATCAAAGCAATATCTTATTCCATCCTCTTCCTTTTAGTCGGTGTGTCCTTTAATCAGAAGTGAGTCACTTGTAGGCAGCAATGTAGGGCTCTTGTTTTCTTATCCATTCAACTACTCTAATTTTTGGTTGGAGCACTTAATTCTTTTCCATTTGAGGTACCTGTTGATAGAAATGTAGTTATTACCATTCTTTATTCTTGTTTTTGATACATGATTTTTCTTCTTAAAAAAGTTCCTCCAACATTTCCTATAAGACTGGCTTGGTGGTAATAAATTCCTTTAGCTTATTTTTGTCTGGGAAGCTCTGTATCTGTCCATCAACTCTAAGTGATAACTTTGCTGGATAAAGTACCCTTTGTTGTAGATCCTGGGTTTTCATCACATGGAATATTTTGTGCCAATCCTGTCCTGCCTTTTGAGAAATCAGCTGCCAGTCTTATGGGTGTTCCCTTATAAGTAGCTAACTGCTTTTTCTCTTGCTGCTTTTAAGATTCTCTCTTTGTATTTAAACTTTGGCATTTTATTTATGATAAGACTTGGTGTGGGCCTCTTTGAGTTCCTGGTTTTTGAGATTCTCTGAGCTTCCTGGAGTTTTAGGTCTATTTCCTTCACCAGGTTAGGAGGGAAATTTTCCATCATTATTTCTTCAAATAGCTCTTCAACTTCTTGTTCTTCCTCTTCAGGTACCTTTATGACATGGATAGTTTTACCTTGAATAGTGTCTCATAGGCTCCTTAAATTATTTTCATAGTCTTGGCTTTTTATTTCTTGTCATTCTGATTGACTGTCCTTGGCTTTCCCATCCTTTATATAGTTCATTTGATCCTCTTTATTCACTTTGTTTTTTCCATTTAATATACTTCTCATTTTAGATAATGTGTTCTTCATTCAGACTGGTTCCATTTTATAATTTCCATTTGCATTTTTATGTTTTTTATCTCTGTTATCTCTGAATTTATGTCTGAATTTATCTGCACTTCCCATAAGTTCTTTGAACATCTTTATAACCAGTGTTTTGAATTCTGCATCTGTTAGATTGCTTGACTCCATTATATCTGGATCTCTGTTGTCTTCTCTCATATGGTTTCTGCTTCTTTGTCTTCCCATTTCTGCTTCTGTGTCTGTTTCTATGTACTAAGCAAAGCTCCTAAGTCTCCTGGTCTTATTAGTGTGGATTTGTGAAGTAGGTGTCCAGTGGCACAGCCCTGAGAGTGATTCAGCTGCAGGCCAAATTTAGCCCAAGCCTCTGCCCCTCTCGGGCCACCTGTTAAGATTCAGTGAGCAGTCCACAGATGCTGTGTTCATAGTTGCCTCAAAAGGCTACACCAGAAACCGAGGCAGCTGCCTCCAGTGTAAGTCCAGGTGCAGCAAGAAGCACCTGACTCACTGAGGACACACCTGGATATGGCTGGGTGAGGCCCTGAGTTGGAAGAGGCAGGGTTTCAGGGAATCCTCTGGGCAGAGCAACCTGTTATCTAGTTTGATGACATCACGGCTATGGCGGTGCTGCATCTGCATACTGGGAGTGGGGGAGGGTCATCAGAGGAACAACAGATACTGCCGGCACTTCTGTATAGACTGAGTCCTGCCTCAGCCCTCAGTCCAACAACTCACTGTCCCCCTGTAAGTCCCTGGTGTCCCTGTGCAGCCTAACCAGCACTGGTGCTCAGAGTGAGCAGGTCCGACATGGCCAAAGTCCCGCAGACACGGCCCCTTTAATAGGCATCTGCCACTTCGCAGCCTCTGTCCCACTCAGCTACCTCTGACCGGGCAGCCCCACATTCTCACCCCATTCTACCTTCTGCATTGCAGGGTGATTTCTTAGATTTCTCATGAGTTGTATGGCTTGTTCATCTAGATCCCAGGAGATTTTTCCTTGCTGTTTGCTCCTTGTTTCTGTCACAACTTTGATTTGGTCGCTGGAGGGATGAACAGAGTCTCTATCATCTACACCATTTTTTTCTGCCCGAGTCTTAATTTCTGCTATTATACATGTAGTTTTCAAGAACTTTTGGTTTCCTAAATGTTCCAAAAAAGAACATCTTATTCTTTTTACAAAAAGATTGCTTTAAAAAGACTTTATTTTTTAGAGCAGTTTTATGTTAACAAAAAAATTGAGAGGGAGGTACAGAGATTTCCCTTATAATCTAATCCCCATAGATACATAACCTCCCTATTATCAACACCACTTACCACAATGATACTTTAAAAAAAAAAATCAAGGAATGACCTTGTATTGACACATCATGATCACCCAAAGTCCATAGTTTACCTTAGGGTTCACTCTTGGTGTTGTATGTTCTGTGGGTTTGGACAAATGTATAATGACATATTTCCATTATTATAATACAGAGTATTTTCACTGCCCTAAAAATCCTCCATGGTCAGCCTATTCATCTCCCCCCACTCCATCCCTGGCAACCAGCAATCTTTTTATTGTGTCTACATTTTTACCTTTTCTGGAATGTTATGTAGTTGGAATCATATAGTATGTAGTCTTCTCAGACTAGCTTCTTTCACCCAGTAGTATGCATTCAAGATTCCTCCATGTCTTTTCATAGTTTAAGAGTTTATTTCAGAGGTATTGAATAATAGTCCATTGTCTAGATGTATCACAGTTTATTTATCTATTCACCTACTGAAGGACATTTTGGTTGCTTCCAAGTTTTAACAATTATGAACAAAGAAGCCATAAATGCTGTACACAATTTTTTATATGGATGTAAATTTTTAACTCCTCTGGGTAAATACTAAGGAGCATAATTTCTGGATTGTATGGTAAGAGTATGTTTAGTTTTGTAAAAAACTACCAAACTATCTTCCAAAGTGCCTATGTCACTTTGCATTTCTACTAGAATATGTGAGAGTTCCTGTTGCTTCCACATTCTTGTCAGCATTTGGTGTTGTCAGTGTTCTAGATTTTGGCCATTCTAATAAGTATATAGGGGAATCTAATTGTTGTTTTAATTTGCATTTCCATGATGACATACGATGTGGAGCATCCTTTTATGTTTTTTTTTGTGATCTGTATATCCTTTGGTCAGGTGTCTGCTAAGGTCTTTAGCCCTTTTTTCCCCGTCTTTATTTTTCTCCCTCCCCCGACATCCACCCCTGAATTATGGATGTCGCCGTTTCCCTTTAAGAACTGGATCTCTGAAGGCAGGGTGTCTCCTCCTACACACTCGTGGCCTGCACCCGGGGTCTGGCACCCCCGGCGCAATTGGGGGACCTGGCATACCCAGGGGCCCTGGCCCATAGCTCCACCTGGGGCACAAACCCAAGACCTTCTGCATGTAAAGCAGACATGCTAACCATTACACTAATGCATAACAGGCTGAATTCTGGGAACGAACATGTGCAGAAAGTAAATGATGAGTCACTGAGTCCTGTCAATCTTAGTTGTCAATCAAGAAAGCCCACTCTTCTAAGAAAAGTAACCACCCAGTTAAGTAGGGATAAAAAACCCCAAAGGCTTTGTTACTAGGCCCTTGAGCCACCCTGTTCTTGCTCAGGCCTCTTCCACAGCTGGAAGTGTACTGTTGCTTTACTCTCCTTTCCAATAAAGCTATTCTTTTGCTGCTGTATTTCGGTGTCTCACTCACTTCTTTGTTTAAGACATCAAGAGACTAGACAACGTGCGGAGAGGGGAACAGAATCCCCATTCTCCGGTAACACTGGCTCCTGTCATTCTGGAGCCCATCAAGAAAAGAGATTGGGGAGGGGTAGGGAGTCTTCTCAACATTTGGTATGTAAACATTCTCTTAATATCTCTGGGCTCAGTACAATACCCCTGCCTTCAACTGTGTCTAATGTCCCCTAGTCCAGAAACTCTGTTTTCTATCTCCAGAGCGCAAACTTGGAAGAGCTGGTGGTGAAACATCTGATCACAGAGTGGAAGAGAGTGATCTGAGGATCTGTTTCTTAAACATCTATCCTCCAATACCCTATGCTCATCTCTACTTTCAGAGATACCTGGTGCTGCCAATTCCAGGTAATTTAGGGATTCTAGTGGAACTGGGTTGCTTCTTAACTCCCCCTCTATAGGCTTAGAATTTAGGTCTAAGTCAGCAGAGTCAATTACTACCCATTTACTATTTTTCAGCTTATAATATTTTGTTGCAATCTTTCCTCTCATTCTTTTTACCTTGTTTTAAAACTTTTTACTGTCATTTTTGTACAATTTGGAGGGAGTAAAATTAGATATGTATGTGCTCTATCTTCTCTTTTTCTCCAGAATGCTAATGTATTTTCTAGTTCTAATAGTCTGAGTTTAAGATGGTTGTTAAATTGTAAAAACCTAATCTCAATTATCCAAGGCCTTAGATTTTCCTGACTACTGAGGCATCTTATATTAACTCCTCACTTGCTTATTTACACTACTATCATAGTAGATTGGGACAGAAAGTGTGGTGAAATTCTCAAAATCTTGTTTTATAAGTTATCTTTTCTGGGA